GTCTATAGTCTAGTCTAGTCTAGTCTATAGTCTAGTCTATAGTCTAGTCTATAGTCTAGTCTATAGTCTAGTCTATAGTCTAGTCTAGTCTATAGTCTAGTCTAGTCTATAGTCTAGTCTATAGTCTAGTATATAGTTAATCTATAGTCTAGTCTATAGTCTAGTTTAGTCTATAGTCTAGTTTAGTCTATAGTCTAGTTTAGTCTAGTCTAGTCTATAGTCTAGTCTATAGTCTAGTTTATAGTCTAGTCTATAGTCTAGTCTATAGTCTAGTCTATAGTCTAGTCTATAGTCTAGTCTATAGTTTAGTCTATAGTCTAGTCTATAGTCTAGTCTATAGTCTAGTCTATAGTCTAGTCTATAGTCTAGTCTATAGTCTAGTCGATAGTCTAGTCGATAGTCTAGTCGATAGTCTAGTATATAGTCTAGTCTATAGTCTAGACTATTGTCTAGTCGATAGTCAAATCTATAGTCTAGTCTATAGTCTAGTCTATAGTCTAGTCTATAGTCTAGTCTATAGTCTAGTCTATAGTCTAGTCTATAGTCTAGTCTATAGTCTAGTCTATAGTCTAGTCTATAGTCTAGTCTATAGTCTAGTCTATAGTCTAGTCTATAGTCTAGTCTATAGTCTAGTCTATAGTCTAGTCTATAGTCTAGTCTATAGTCTAGTCTATAGTCTAGTCTATAGTCTAGTCTATAGTCTAGTCTATAGTCTAGTCTATAGTCTAGTCTATAGTCTAGTCTATAGTCTAGTCTATAGTCTAGTCTATAGTCTAGTCTATAGTCTAGTCTATAGTCTAGTCTATAGTCTAGTCTATAGTCTAGTCTATAGTCTAGTCTATAGTCTAGTCTATAGTCTAGTCTATAGTCTAGCCTATAGTCTAGTCTATAGTCTAGTCTATAGTATAGTCTATAGTCTAGTCTATAGTCTAGTCTATAGTCTAGTCTATAGTCTAGTCTAGTCTATAGTCTAGTCTATAGTCTAGTCTAGTCTATAGTCTAGTCTATAGTCTAGTCTATAGTCTAGTCTATAGTCTAGTCTATAGTCTAGTCTATAGTCTAGTCTATAGTCTAGTCTATAGTCTAGTCTATAGTCTAGTCTATAGTCTAGTCTATAGTCTAGTCTATAGTCTAGTCTATAGTCTAGTCTATAGTCTAGTCTATAGTCTAGTCTATAGTCTAGTCTATAGTCTAGTCTATAGTCTAGTCTATAGTCTAGTCTATAGTCTAGTCTATAGTCTAGTCTATAGTCTAGTCTATAGTCTAGTCTATAGTCTAGTCTATAGTCTAGTCTATAGTCTAGTCTATAGTCTAGTCTATAGTCTAGTCTATAGTCTAGTCTATAGTCTAGTCTATAGTCTAGTCTATAGTCTAGTCTATAGTCTAGTCTATAGTCTAGTCTATAGTCTAGTCTATAGTCTAGTCTATAGTCTAGTCTATAGTCTAGTCTATAGTCTAGTCTATAGTCTAGTCTATAGTCTAGTCTATAGTCTAGTCTATAGTCTAGTCTATAGTCTAGTCTATAGTCTAGTCTATAGTCTAGTCTATAGTCTAGTCTAGTCTAGTCTATAGTCTAGTCTATAGTCTAGTCTATAGTCTAGTCTATAGTCTAGTCTATAGTCTAGTCTATAGTCTAGTCTATAGTCTATCTATCTAGTCTATAGTCTAGTCTATCTAGTCTATAGTCTAGTCTATAGTCTAGTCAATAGTCTAGTCTATAGTCTAGTCTATAGTCTAGTCTAGTCTATAGTCTAGTCTATAGTCTAGTCTATAGTCTAGTCTATAGTCTAGTCTATAGTCTAGTCTATAGTCTAGTCTATAGTCTAGTCTATAGTCCAGTCTATAGTCTAGTCTATAGTCTATAGACTAGTCTATAGTCTAGTCTATAGTCTAGTCTATAGTCTAGTCTATAGTCTAGTCTATAGTCTAGTCTATAGTCTAGTCTATAGTCTAGTCTATAGTCTAATCTATAGTCTAGTCTATAGTCTAGTCTATAGTCTAGTCTATAGTCTAGTCTATAGTCTAGTCTATAGTCTAGTCTATAGTCTAGTCTATAGTCTAGTCTATAATCTAGTCTATAGTCTAGTCTATAGTCTAGTCTATAGTCTAGTCTATAGTCTAGTCTATAGTCTAGTCTATAGTCTAGTCTATAGTCTAGTCTATAGTCTAGTCTATAGTCTAGTCTATAGTCTAGTCTATAGTCTAGTCTATAGTCTAGTCTATAGTCTAGTCTATAGTCTAGTCTATAGTCTAGTCTATAGTCTAGTCTATAGTCTAGTCTATAGTCTAGTCTATAGTCTAGTCTATAGTCTAGTCTATAGTCTAGTCTATAGTCTAGTCTATAGTCTAGTCTATAGTCTAGTCTATAGTCTAGTCTATAGTCTAGTCTATAGTCTAGTCTATAGTCTAGTCTATAGTCTAGTCTATAGTCTAGTCTATAGTCTAGTCTATAGTCTAGTCTATAGTCTAGTCTATAGTCTAGTCTATAGTCTAGTCTATAGTCTAGTCTATAGTCTAGTCTATCTATCTATCTATCTATCTATCTATCTATCTATCTATCTATCTATCTATCTATCTATCTATCTATCTATCTATCTATCTATCTATCTATCTATCTATCTATCTATCTATCTATCTATCTATCTATCTATCTATCTATCTATCTATCTATCTATCTATCTATCTATCTATCTATCTATCTATCTATCTATCTATCTATCTATCTATCTATCTATCTATCTATCTATCTATCTATCTATCTATCTATCTATCTATCTATCTATCTATCTATCTATCTATCTATCTATCTATCTATCTATCTATCTATCTATCTATCTGTCTATCTATCTATCTATCTATCTATCTATCTATCTATCTATCTATCTATCTATCTATCTATCTATCTATCTATCTATCTATCTATCTATCTATCTATCTGTCTATCTATCTATCTATCTTCTATCTATCTATCTATCTATCTATCTATCTATCTATCTATCTATCTATCTATCTATCTATCTATCTATCTATCTATCTATCTATCTATCTATCTATCTATCTATCTATCTATCTATCTATCTATCTACCTATCTATCTATCTATATCTATCTCTATCTATCTATCTATCTATCTATCTATCTATCTATCTATCTATCTATCTATCTATCTATCTATCTATCTATCTATCTATCTATCTATCTATCTATCTATCTATCTATCTATCTATCTATCTATGTATCTATCTATCTATCTATCTATCTATCTATCTATCTATCTATCTATCTATCTATCTATCTATCTATCTATCTATCTATCTATCTATCTATCTATCTATCTATCTATCTATCTATCTATCTATCTATCTATCTATCTATCTATCTTATCTATCTATCTATCTATCTATCTATCTATCTATCTATCTATCTATCTATCTATCTATCTATCTATCTATCTATCTATCTATCTATCTATCTATCTATCTATCTATCTATCTATCTATCTATCTATCTATCTATCTATCTATCTATCTATCTATCTATCTATCTATCTATCTATCTATCTATCTCTATCTATCTATCTATCTATCTATCTATCGAACTCTCTATCTATCGAACTCTCTATCTATCGAACTCTCTATCTATCGAACTCTCTATCTATCGAACTCTCTATCTATCGAACTCTCTATCTATCGAACTCTCTATCTATCGACCTCTCTATCTAATCGACTCTTTATCTATCGAACTCTTTATCTATCGAACTCTTTATCTATCGATTTTAATATATCGATTTTTATATATAATCTCTTTACTATCGATCTCGTTATCTATCGGTTCTTTATCTATCGATCTCGTTATCTATCGATCTCTTTAAATCGATCTCTTCACCTTCGATATCTTTATATATCGATCTCTTCATCTATCGATCTCGTTATACATCAATCTAGCAGTCTCGTTATATAGCGATCTTTTATCTATGGAGGCTGTCACTCCTCTTATATATTGATTAGTCAATTCTACTCCTGAAAGTTTCTACAGATTTGTCTATTAACCCTCGTTTATTTAATCATAAAAATGTGTAGTCTATTTTTTGGATGGGTTATTTTTGGTATGTGGTTATAATAATCAGTTTGTAAATATTTACTTACATCTCTTTCGTTATTACTAAACTGAATACTAAGATTTGGCATTGCTCTAAGTATTGCAACTAATGATTGTATTGTGTTGCTATAAACAACCGGTCTATATTGGTTGAAATCTTCAGGAGTGAACCCACTTTCGTGTATAATTTTCATTTGTTTAACAATTGTACTGTTGCCCGATTCACCAGCACCTGGAAATAAAAAGGAGATATTAGAGATAATTTAATTAATAAGATAAAATAAATCTTAAATAATAGTTTTTTTCTTTTCAAAAAAATTTTATAAAATTTAATTAATTAAATCTTATACTTTATTAAATATTAAATAATTAAACAATTAAATTTGTATTTCTTTTTTTACTAAAAAATCTCGAATTTTTTGTTTTTATTGTTGATTTGTTATTTATACTAAACATTGTTTTTGTGTTCAGTATTCTAATGGGTTTTTAAAGTGCAAAACACTTAAAATGTATCTGTGTGTGTGTGTCTGTGTGTTTGTATATGAATCTGCAAGATACTGAAAATTGTTCAACAGAAGAATGATATGAAAAAAAAAAAAAAATACAGAATCTTAAGTAGAAATCAGTGTTGTGAATAATAAACCGAGAAAAATAAAAAACATACTCGTACTACATACGTATGTACTTGTTTCTATCTTGTATATTCAACGACAAAAAACGCTATAAATTGTTGTTAAACACATTGACACACAGATACATTTTGCTAGTAGTTCACTATAACGTAAGGACAAAACAAATACGCAGATAGTCGTGGAAAAATATCCTCGAAACTAAGCAATTCACCATCGTTCACACCCTCCCACAACTGTCTAATGGAAATTCACTTATTTTGTTGGCTAAAATAAAATGTAGAATAAATGTTTGCGAAGCGTGCATGAATATTCAACAAATTGTTGCAAATCATTAGGAATATTTGCATTTTAATTTTTAGCTTTAAATTGTAAAAAGAAGAAAAACTTAAAATCCTTAATATCTAATAGCAAGTAGTATTAGTTGAGATGATTAACTAAAATTTAATTAATAGTCTAGACAGATGCGCTCATTTTTAGAAGTATTCATTAACAATTCTTAAAGTTAACAAATGGATATTATATTACGATTTAGAAGGGAGTTAATATTTAAATATTTAAAAAAAAACAACTATTTAGGGATAAGCAAATATTTAGAAATAAGAACTGAACTAAAACTTTACTAGAACTAAACTAGAACTGAACTAGAACTGAACTAGAACTGAACTAGAACTGAACTGGAACTGAACTAGAACTGAACTAGAATTGAAACTAGAACTGAACTAGAACTGAACTAGAACAGAACTAGAACTGAACTAAACTGAACTAAAACTGAACTAAAACTGAACTAAAACTGAACTAGAACTGAACTAGAACTGAACTAGAACTGAACTAGAACTGAACTAGAACTGAACTAGAACTAAACTAGAACTGAACTAGAACTGAACTAGAACTGAACTAAACTGAACACTAGAACTGAACTAGAACTGAACTAGAACTGAACTAGAACTAACTGAACTAGAACTGAACTAGAACTGAACTAGAACTGAACTAGAACTGAACTAGAACTGAACTAGAACTGAACTAGAACTGAACTAGAACTGAACTAGAACTGAACTGAACTGAACTAGAACTGAACTAGAACTGAACTAGAACTGAACTAGAACTGAACTAGAACTGAACTAGAACTGAACTAGAACTGAACTAGAACTGAACTAGAACTGAACTAGAACTGAACTAGAACTGAACTAGAACTGAACTAGAACTGAACTAGAACTGAACTAGAACTGAACTAGAACTGAACTAGAACTGAACTAGAACTGAACTAGAACTGAACTAGAACTGAACTAGAACTGAACTAGAACTGAACTAGAACTGAACTAGAACTGAACTAGAACTGAACTAGAACTGAACTAGAACTGAACTAGAACTGAACTAGAACTGAACTAGAACTGAACTAGAACTGAACTAGAACTGAACTAGAACTGAACTAGAACTGAACTAGAACTGAACTAGAACTGAACTAGAACTGAACTAGAACTGAACTAGAACTGAACTAGAACTGAACTAGAACTGAACTAGAACTGAACTAGAACTGAACTGAACTAGAACTGAACTAGAACTGAACTAGAACTGAACTAGAACTGAACTAGAACTGAACTAGAACTGAACTAGAACTGAACTAGAACTGAACTAGAACTGAACTAGAACTGAACTAGAACTGAACTAGAACTGAACTAGAACTGAACTAGAACTGAACTAGACTGAACTAGAACTGAACTAGAACTGAACTAGAACTGAACTAGAACTGAACTTGAACTGAACTAGAACTGAACTAGAACTGAACTAGAACTGAACTAGAACTGAACTAGAACTGAACTAGAATGGAACTATTTACGTTACTTAAAAACAGTAATAATTTTTCATGTTATAACGAATTACAAAAAACATTCTTTACAAAAATCCATAAAAATCTGTTTAAAAATTTTTTGTTTATAATGCAAGTGATTACAAAAACTTTAGATGGAAAAAAATCATTTCGCACTATGATTTTCCTCTTAAAACAAATATTATTATAATTATTTGTTGATATTATCGTTAGGCCGGGCAACTCTGCCTCCAGTTCTTGTGAAGCAAAAAAAAAAAAAAAAAAAAACAATAAATTTCTTTGTTTTTAATTTTCTCTCAGTAATTATGATGGGAAGAAGTGGTAGTTAGATAGATAGTTGGGATTTGCACTATGGTTTGTGTAAGTAAACTGGTCGGTTTTTAATACGAAAAAAAAAAAAAAACTACAAGAGATTTAAATTACTTGATGATGATAATAAAGATGATGCTTCTTGAGATTCTTCTTACACTTAAAAAGTCCTATTCATTGTCTGCGTAAATATGTTTTTCTTGCTGATTAACTTTCATAATGATTATCTAAAGATCTGTGTTTTATTAATAATTAGTTTATGGTTACAATAAATTAAATATTTTTTATATAAAATTTTGATGGATTGCATTCTCAGTTTTTGTTTGCTGTTTATAGAGTAAATAATTCGTCATTATAAAAATCATTAGAAATAATTAGGACATATTTGAAATATCTAATAATAAACCTTAAACATTTTTGTTTATGCCAATTCTATGGTGAATTGTATACAACAAATCAATTATTTGTTAAAAATTATATATGTTTGTATGTGTGTACTTTTAAAGAAATAACTATAAACAAATCATTAGTAATCATATATGAATATAATATTGAAAGTATAAGAAAATTTTGAAAACAAAATATTCCATTAAACAGTGAAATAAATAAATTCACGTTTTTATTTTATAAAATCCAAATAATTTATTATGGACTAAATCAATAATACACTAGGAGAAAAAGATCAGGTCCAAACAGGACTTAGTAACTCTAAAAAATAGCGAAAGCCAAGAGTTCAGAAAAATAAACTGAATTTAACCACCGAAATTTCACTAAAATTCCCTTATTTCACTAGATCCGAATCGTAGACCAGACTATGACTATGGACAAGACTAGAGAATAGACTATAGGCTACACTATTGACTAGATTGTAAATTAGACTACAGACTAGACTATAGACTAGACTATAGACTAGACTATAGACTAGACTATAGACTGGACTATAGACTGGACTATAGACTAGACTATAGACTAGACTATAGACTAGACTATAGACTGGACTATAGACTGGACTATAGACTAGACTAAGACTAGACTATAGAACCTAGACTGACTAGGCTAGACTATAGCTAGACTATAGACTAGACTATAGACTAGACTATAGACTAGACTATAGACTAGACTATAGACTAGACTCCAGACTATAGACTAGACTATAGACTAGACTATAGACTAGACTATAGACTAGACTATAGACTAGACTATAGACTAGACTATAGACTAGACTATAGACTAGACTATAGACTAGACTATAGACTAGACTATAGACTAGACTATAGACTAGCTATAGACTAGACTATAGACTAGACTATAGACTAGACTATAGACTAGACTATAGACTAGACTATAGACTAGACTATAGACTAGACTATAGACTAGACTATAGACTAGACTATAGACTAGGACTATAGGCTAGACTATAGACTAGACTATAGACGAGACTATAGGCTAGACTATAGGACTATAGATAGACATAGACTAGACTATAGACTAGACTATAGACTAGACTATAGCTAGACTATAGACTAGACTATAGACTAGACTATAGACTAGACTATAGCTAGACTATAGACTAGACTATAGACTAGACTATAGACTAGACTATAGGACTAGACTATAGACTAGACTATAGACTAGACTATACTAGACTATAGACTAGACTATAGACTAGACTTAGACTAGACTACTAGACTATAGACTAGACTATAGACTAGACTATAGAGCTAGACTATAGACTAGACTTAGACTAGACTAGACTATACTATACTAGACTATAGACTAGACTATAACTAGACTATAGACTAGACTAAGACTAGACTATAGACTAGGACTATAGAACTAGACTATAGACTAGACTATAGACTAGACTATAGACTAGACTATAGACTAGACTATAGACTAGACTATAGACTAGACTATAGACTAGACTATAGACTAGACTAGACTAGACTATAGACTAGACTATAGACTAGACTATAGACTAGACTATAGACTAGACTATAGACTAGACTATAGACTAGACTATAGACTAGACTATAGACTAGACTATACTAGACTAGACTATAGACTAGACTAGACTATAGTCTATTATATTTCACTAAAAATTACAAATTTTATAAAAATAAGGAAAAATCACTAAAATCCTATATTTCACAAAAAATCCAATATTTTACTAAAAATTCAAAATTTCTCAAAAAATTTGATATTTCAGCCAAAATCTAATATTGTACTAAAAATTCGATATTTGTTTAAAAATCCAATTTTTCACATAAAATCCAAAATTTCACAAAAAAATAGTTTTTTTTAAATTCGAGTTATTTTACTAAAAATCCAATATTTCACTAAAAACCCGATATTTTCACTAAAAATTCGTTATATCACCCAAAATCCAATATTTCACTAAAATTTCAATATTTCAAGAAAAAATCCAAAATTTTTCTGTTTTACCGAAAATCAAATTAGGTATTC